TGGAACATGGGGTTACACCTTAGAGGCAGAGCGCCACTCAGTGTGCATGAGGACGGTGATCCCACAGGTCTTTCCCAGATAAAGTTCCCAGTTTGTTTTATGTTATAATTAAGGATAATTAACTAGAGAGCATCCAAATGACCCGTAGACTTTTTGCCTTAAAAATGGTTCTTTGAGATACTATAGAATCCCAAACGTTGTAGATTCGATGTAGTTTGAAAAAATTTTGACAATCCTAAGGAAATGTGGAATCTCTGCAACTTTACTGTCAGTAGCAAATCCACACGCATTATATTTCTGCCGTGTCAGTCTCTCTGAGTCCATGAGGAACGTTGGTTGATGTAATTCCTGCCCCTGTGTAAAGGCTATTCGTGTTGGACTCACTGTAGCCATCTGTGATCCCTAGAGTTTAAGCAGCAAGAAAGCCAGCATCTCTCCATAGCTCCCTGGGGCTGTGCCGCGAAGAGTTGTGAGGGTCCCTTCCTGTCCTGTTTTGTCAGCGAAGCATAAAGCCTGGGTGGCCGGAAGGGCCGTGCACACTAGGCCCAGGCACTGCAGTGCGCTGGAGATGGAGGCTCTTGAGGGGACTCTCACTGGCCTCCCAGGCAGGCTTTCTCTGCTGCCCTGAAAAGGCCCAGACATTCTTGGGAGGCAGCATAGTTCCCCAGGTCAGGCTGTGCTTTTTACCCAGGCTAAGCTTCTAAAAAGAATTTTTTTAAGTAATGTGGTATAATTGAGGGCCTTTGTATGTCATTCTGAGCGTCGCCTTTGCACTAAAAGCCTCTCATTGTAGCTTCCCTATTACAGCCTCACCTTCTACATTAAGCGTTTACTTGCCTGTTAGAAAGTACCAGAGCCAGGCAGCCAGGTTTCCTGGAAATTTCACTTGCCTTTGCAGAGGTTTGTCAACTGAATACAAACCTGGCCTTCAGGCTGGCTGAAACATCGCTACCTGTTCTCTTTCCCTCATAAACTATTTAGTGCCTCAAATGGCAAGTTGACAGCATTTACCAGAATGGATTTCTATAGAGCTGCAGGTCCTGGGTTTGCCCCTCTTGCAGGCTGGGGGTAGGTTTGCATCAGCCAGGCAGGCCCTTAGCATCACTGACCACCCAGCTGGTTTTTCATGAATGCCACTGACTCCTCTTCATCACCTGTTCCAGCCTAAAAACTGGTGCGAGATGACCAGGCCAGAGTGTTAGCTGTTCCCTGGAGCCGTGCAGCTGCCTGCGGTGGAGCTACACCATGGGAACTGCTACCAAGTTGGGGTTTCAAACTAAAATGTGGCTGCCTAACCCAATACCTGGAAAAAAGTCATTCTTCAAGGCGACATCCGCTCTCAAGGATGGTGGCTCATGACGGGTTGCTGTCCCGTTGGGCCTCCTGGGAGTGAAGCAGAGGTGGTGTCAGGCAGGCAGGCAAATGTGTGTGCTGTGTCTGTAGTGGACTGAAAACGTGCAGGCTCCAAAACGCACGCCTGGTCTCCGGGCCCCGCAGGAGGCTGCCCCATCAGACTGAGGGATCTGCTCCTTCTCTGTCCTGAATGCTCCATATTTAGCCCCCAGCTAGCTCCAGGAGTTGCAAGTTTTACTGAAATTGTCCTTATTTTTAAAGAGTAAAGAAAATGGCGTTTCACTTTAATTTCGATTTTTCAGGCAGACTTTCCGTCAAACACATGTAATTCTAACTTGGAACAGGACTGATAACGTATGGACATGTGGGTGGGAGGGTTTCATTCTAGTATCTCTTCCTTCCTTCCACATCGTGTTTAGTAGTGGGGTCCTATTCCTTCTCTGCTGAGATAAAGACCCAGCTGACAAATGCACGTTTTTCACAGTGGACTTAAGTTGTAGGGGGACAGCAAGGGAGACAGTAATGTTCCATTTCGAAGTTGGTTGGGGTTATGTTTGGTGTGTTTTTGGAGGTGTTTCCCTTCCTTAGAACATCATGTGACTTAATGGTGATAATTAGGCAGAAGCTTGTCTTCCCTGCAGATGCCAGTGTTCCAGAGGGATGGACTCTCACCGGCGACTGCATGACAGCATCCATGGATATTTTTAGAGTGGGTCTCATCATTCATTTGGTCTCTCCATTTCATTCTTCTTCCATAAACAGCCTGATTTTGAACTTACTTATTGAGCAGGGAGAGGGCAGGGGGACATTCTAATGAAAGTCACTGATGAGACAGGGACATTTCCATATTTATTGTTAATTGCTGTATTGCCTAGTAACTGGAGTAACAGCTGTAATTCTCTTAGCTGTCTGCTTTTCTTTCCAAAGATTTTTGCTTAACTTTTTTTAGACTAGGAGGGTATCCACACACACACACACACACACACACAAACTTCATAGTTAGCAAAAGAGTCATACTTGAGTCATGTGAGAATGACATGAGCTCCCTTAAAAACCCATTCTCATACCCAAGCTAAGTATCAGCTAATTTCCAGCTCTGTAGCTGGTTTCATCACTGAACACGCACGCCACTCTCTTAGTCTCTGACTGAGTCAGGTAAACGTGCAGACTGGGAGCTGCAGAGGAACCTTCAGAAGGCCAAGGTAGATGAGTTGCTGCTTTCCATAGAATTGTTTTTATTACCTTGGTCTTCACTGTGAGTGGTGGTCCTGGTGCTCTTCTTACAAAGAGGGTTGGAATTGTATTCAACATGTATTGGAGTTTTTTCCCCATGTTTTTGTAGTATTTTACATCTGTTTTCCTTCTAACACACACACACACACACACACACACACACACACACACACACTAGGCCCTTTCAGTTGTGGGGAGTTAGAATTTCTCTATTAAATGTGCCCTGTGTAGGAACTGCCTCTGTACCTAGACCTGTCTCCCCGGCTCCTCCCGTGGGCAGGGAGGTGGCTTCCTGTGCAGCCTACCTAGGAGGGCATTGCCTGAGACCTGGCGGAAGCTGCAGGGCGTAGCATCACAGGTGGCCCCGTTTCATTCGCAGAAAGGGAAAGAGTGATTTTAGTGTGGCTCCTTAATGGTGATGCTCCCAGATGATTCTGGGCCTTTTGCTGAGGGAATGAGTGTTCGGCCCAGGGTTGTTGATGCTGTCAGGCTGCCCCAAGTGGCCCCCCACCCCAGATTTTAGGGCTGATGTCTGTCCTGCCTGAAACGATGCCATGTCAGCGTGCCTCGGTGCCCTCCATCTCTGTCCCTGCTGCGCCGGACCAGCCGCAGCTACCGCTGTACTTGGGGGAATGAAGTGTGTCACTTTCCCACTCTGCGCTGGTTTCTGTGGCACAATAATTAACACCAAAGGGAACCAGGGAGGTTGTCCGGATTAGGTAATACCTTGCTACTTCTCCCTTGATACTTACCGAAAGTCAGGACTGGGACTTGGGGACCAAAATCCCCCAATGACTGATTGCATAGTGATGTTAGGTTGTGACTTATTAAGTGTTATTGTGGAGGAAAAAAGAATTCCCTTCTCGGTACTGTGTCTGGGATCCCCCGCCCAATAACGTTTCAGGGCCTGGTGAAACACTTACAATAGCACCAGCTCTGGCAGGCCGCATTCTCACAGACAGACCTGGGATTTTTTTGAGCTTTTTATCCCTCTGAAATTAATAAGCCATGATTTTATGGTCCAAGATAATACTGTTTAGTCAACTTATAAAGCAAAGAGTACCCCAAAAAGTCCAGTCATGGAAACTAAACACAAAAATACTGATGGCAAGAGGGTTATTTGTTTTCCCTGCTTGATTCTCCCTGCCTCCAAAAAAACCCTCACTTCTCTTCAGAGCTGTAGCAAAGGGAAATAGGCCCATAGATCTGTGATCTTCTATGTACTGTTTCCTGCTGTCTTGGCAGATGTCAGTAGCAAAAGGTAAGATTGTCAGCAAGGACAGGATCATGGATGAGACTGAGCCACAAGGTACTGTGTCTCCTCTAGAAGGGCAAGAGACGTATGTAACACATCGTGTGTGTGTGTGTGTGTGTGTGTGTGTGTGTGAGGTCATTGATGTATTTTTCATTCTGCGGTCCCTTTGGTGAGAAAATCTTGAGTTCTTGGTGCTTTACTGCCACTTTTCTATCCCTGTCTTGGCTTAGAGCCATTTTTTTTTTTTTTTTTTACTACCTTGACAGCTGACACTGTAAACAAAAGATCTTACGGCTTGAGACCTGTCTCATCGGTTCCTTCAGCTGCATCTCTCTGAGTATACTTTTTTGGTTAATCCTCTTCACTTTCCTGGGCGCAGTGGCCACAGGAAATCTGATAAGACTTGTCTCAATGCAGTGCTCTGGGAGGCCATCTGCTGTGCCTTTCTGTTGAAGACTGATGGAGACAACGTAAATGTTGTTGGTTGTTAACAAGACGTTTTAGGAGGGTTGGCTCTGAGTGTGTTATGTAATTTTTGTCTCTGAAGGTTTTTAATATAAAAATCACATTCCTAAGATAGCCCACTTAGAGATGCCTTGCTTCTCTTATGGTGGGGAAGTCAAGATTACTCACACCCTGCAGTGCAGACTTACTAAGCCTGTGTGGAAAAGGGCCATGTCATCTCCCCTTGTATCTGGATACTAATAGGGCGTCAAGCAAGTTCAGTTCCTCTGCCTGGCCAGTGGTGGAAAACCAAAGAAGAATAGTTGTTTTTCTGATAAAGTCCCATGTCCTAGCAAACCCCTCCATGCAAAACAAACCCTACATGTTCCCCAGGTCCCTGCCTTAACGGGACTCACTAAAACACACCTAATGTGCCTTTCTTCGTTGACTTCCTGAAGTGAATGATCTCATTTCTTTGGGCTTTTCAATGTTAGGACATTCTGTAATAATGCCACAGTAAGAAATAAGGTAAGTAATACTTGTGCTTTGTCCTTAGATGTGGAGGCCTTGAAATGCATAGCAAGCACCTTCACTCCATATTCCTTGGGCTTGCATGGTGGGGTAAAGAACAGGAGGCCAAGGCAGATGCCTCCCAGGGGCCCTGTTGCTTTTTGAAACCCTTAAACTTCTCTTGTTTTCTTTTCTCCTTCTTTAGACCCTCAAACTGACACAAGACCTACAGAGAAAACCCTTTGCCAAATCTGCTCTCAGCAAGTGGACAGTGATACCGTTTACAGCTTAACACCTTGTGAATCCCGCGCCATTTTCCTAACCCAGCGGAGACTGTTAATGGCCCCTTGCCCTGGGTGAAGCGCTTGCCCTTGGAACAGAACTTTATAAAGTATGCAAAATCTTCCTTGTCTGGGGTGGTGAGCTGCCTGCCACGGAGGACAGCACCCCGACAGCACCACCCTCTCATTCAGAGCACACGGGCGCCCCCATTGCCGATTCTGTGGTATTTTAATATCTCGATGGTTTGTAGGATGTTTCAGATGTTGTTTTTGTGTTCGTTTTCTTTCACCTTCTGAGTTTTTCACATGCATTAACTTGCAGTATTTTTCTGTTAAAATGTTAACCGTCCTCCTCCTGGCAAATTTAAAAGCAAGGAAAATGTTGTACCAGTTACCGTTCTGGCTGTGGGCACCACAAGCTTTTGAGCCCACAGGACTCCATAACTAACATTACATAAACTGTGGGGGGATTTTCTTTCTTTTGTTTAGTAGAAAATTATCCTTTTCTAAAAACTGAATAAGGGCACAACTGTTTGCAGTGCACACCCGTCCAGGACCGAACCACACATAGGTGAGACGAAAGAAGCGCAGCATCCGGCCCAGTCAGCGTGTTTCCGGTCCTGAGTCCAGGCGGTCCGAGGATGAGCCCCGCAGTGCCTGTACTGCAGTGGCTGGGTCAGCAGAGCTGTGGTCTTCTGCAGTGGCCTCAGCTAAGGTGGTGGACAGCGTTGGCCTGTTGGGTAGAAACTAGGATCTTTTCAGAAAAGAAATCAGCTCAGCTATCCACTCAATTGCCAAATGCCACTGAAGGATTTATTTTTAAGGAGAAAAGAAAAGGAAAAAAAAGTGTCCTGTTTTGCTTTACAGAAGAGCTTAGAAGTGAGTGTTAAGCTTGCAGTGAGACATGTGAAAAGGACAAACCCAGGCGATGCTGAGGCAGGGCTAACTTTACTGTTTTTGAAAAACACATCATTGTTTTCAGCCTGGCTGTGTATCATCTGATCTTCTAGAAGTACATGAGTGAAAGGCAACAGCATACAAATGGATTTTTTTTGTATAAGCCTAGGTTATAATTGTACAAGTGACACAGTGGAAGTACAAGATAAGGCAATTTTAACCTTTTATTCCCTCCCCTTTTTTTTAACTTTCTGCTTCTGTGGATTTCATTTTGTTTTGTTTTCAAAAAGTTATGGTGCTGTGTAGGTGCTTTCTGTTGAACTTGGGAAGTGTGATTATATTTGTTACCCTCTTTGGTAGACAGAATAGTGGGGAACACTTTTGGTACATACAAAACTGGTATAATGCCGCTCTAATTAGCACAGCATATAACTGTCTCCAAAATGATATATGAAGACCCTTTCCTTTGCATAAAAAGCATTAGGCATATAAATGTATATTTTGTCATGTACAGTACTCAAATGGAACCGTGTGCATGGGTATGAGGAACGCAGTGTAGTGTTTCGGCACAGACTTCCCTGCTTGATCCTGCTGATGCTTGCACTGTGGCAGTGGACACCAACACAGACGTGCCACCCTATCCCCTGTACCCCCACCGGCTGCCAGGGGCCCCCTTGTGCGCCTTTGCTGTATAGCTCCTTTGGGGGTGATATTGGTGGTGATCACAGCTCCTAGCATAATGAGAGTTCCATTTAGTATTGTCAGACATCTCTCCTGCCTCGCTTGGATCTTCACATTTGAGCGATGGCCCTGTTGATTTCACCCTGCCTTTTACTAAATCTGTAAATGGTTGTGCAATTGTGGTTATTGTAGACCTATAGCATATCACCCTTTTCTAAACTGCTACACGTTTATAATCTTCATTTTAAAAGTATCTATGATTTTTTTAAAATATGTATTCACGTGGTCTGCTTGACGGTGAGCCAGACTTCCTTACTTTATTCCTTTGTAATAATGCTAGCCACTTCCTTGATTCTTCAGTAGTCTGGTATATTCAAGGACTGCCCGCAGTGAGCAAGAGGGCTACCTCTCTGGCTTCCTGAGTGATGCTGCCTGGGTGGAGATGCAGCCCAGAGATAGTGACAGCAGCTTGGGGACCAGGAAGCAGGGGGTGGAAAGATGTCAGAGACAGGGAGAATCCCAAGTGCTTCCAATGTACAGGCCCTGAGAGTTCTCTCCTGAGTTCAGAGAAATAAGCAAACTCATTCACAAACTAGCTACTTCTCTATGCAGTTTTACAGACTGGCCAGAGCTGCTCTGGGAGCAAGAAGGACAGCCTTCCAATGTGTTCCAGCTTTAAAATGTTGACTTCCTTTCAGAAATGTGACATTTCCTGTATTTTCCTCTTTTCCAGTGTTTGTTGGGTTTCAGGCGCAATGTCTTACAAAATGTCCTAGAATCATGTTATAATGTAATCTCAAATAGCTGAAAGAGAGAGAGGTATGAGGACAGGATAACCACAGAACAGACTGAGAAAATGAAAGGGGGATGCTCTGATTTTTTTTTTTCTTTTTTGAATAATTCAAACAGCATCTACTTATTCTGGAGGTCTGAGCCCAGGGCCACACCAAGCACAGCATCGCAGAGAGACCCGCCAGGCCTAGGAGAAGGCTGGGCAAATAGCAGGGCCTATCTGGAATCCCCATAGCCCCACCCTCAGCTGCCTACCACTGGAGAGACTCGCCTCCCTTAGACAAGCCAGGTTCAAAGGCCTCAGACTGGGCAGAAGTGCAGCCTGAGGCCTCTGTTCCTTATATGCCACCCTGTTTTCTGGATAGGTCATCTGGTGGCCACTAGATTGCCCCCTGAAAGTCTTGTGTCCCTAATAATGTTCTGATTGGAGCATCTCAGTGGATTACTTAGCAGCCTCGGGCCATGGACGGTAATGTTTGTGTCCTGATGAGAACCTTGGGAGCTGCCCTCACCTCTTAGCAAACTGCCCCAGGGAGCTGCCTGCTTTGCCGTGGAGGTTAGGAAGCAGAGACCTAGTGCGGAAAATGTGACTTGCACTCTGAGGCACCGTGATTCTCTTCAGGGTTCAGAGCCTGATATCTGTACCAAAGCTAGAAAAGCCTTCCCAGTGCTGGTGCGAGGACTGGCCCCCAGGTTCAGTGTGCTCCATTAACTGTGAACGCATCTGGTTTCTTTCATTGCATCCTCTGCAACACAATGAATGCTGCAGTACATTTTAAAACTTTTTTCCAAAAGTCTGACTCCTCACGAGAGGATCACGCTCACACATGTAAGGTGTGCTTTGTTTTTGGCGTTTTTAGCATCCTGTGTGTTACTTCCTCACCCTGAGAGAGGACATCATGGCTCGCTACTCAGGACAGGTGTGCCCCATCTCAGGGTGTGACTTCAGGTGGCTTCCAAGCTTGTACAAAGTTTCAGGATTATAGGCACAGACTTTGCCTCTATGTCATGAATATGTAATCCACTTAAAGAATAAGGGACCTTTGAATGACTTGGAAAAGTCCATCAAGAGTAAATTAATTTTAGAAAAAAAAAGCAAGTACTCTGATCTGCTTACTGGTGCCAAGGGCTGATCGGGGTGGGGGGAAATATAAGTGTTACCTTTTCTCCCCCAAAGCAAAAAGAAAACCCTTGACAGCTCTGAACTCTGATTTTTCTTTTTCTTGATGTATTTGGATAACAGCATATAATTCAGCATAATATTTTCTTAATTAAGAGAAGCAAAACTTTTTGTAGAAATGCAATCACTACTAAAGAGGTACAAAAAAACCCAGCCCCACCTGGAGCCTGGTGGAGGTAGGGCATGAGAGGAGATAAGTTCTTGTAGAATCGTGCCTGTCAAACAAGATCTCAAAGTCGAAGCCCAAGCAGCTAAAGACAGTGTCATATCTGATCTTTATCTTAAGTAGGTAACATTTTATGCAGGTTGAATGGGTATTTTCCTCTTGTTTATTTTTATTTGTATGTATTTTCCTTTGAAGAATGATCATGAGGCCTCTACAACACTCCAGAAATACTTGTGCAACTGCTTTGAAAAAACTGTGTCTCGGCACTTATTTCTCTAGAATTATCTCATTGCCTGGCAATCAGTCTTCTCTTGTATACTTGTCCTAGCACATTATATACATGGGAAATGTAAACAGATGTGAAAGAGGACCAGAAAAATTAGTGAGTACTAAAAAAATTGTATTGTGCATTTTGGCTTCACATGTTTAACTTTTTTTTTAAGAAAAAAAGTTGCATGAATGGAAAAAAAAATCTGTATACAGTATCTGTAAAACTGTATTATCTGTTTCAGTTTCTTGCTCACAACCCATACAAACTAGAATTAAATATGGTGCATGGCCATATTCAAACACCTAAGAATCCAACAGTTCACCCTTTGGTTTGAAGCACCTCATTCTTTCTTTGAAGCGAACACTATCATACTGCATTCTTACCTTGGATTTTGTCTAATCATATGTTGACATTAATTAACTCTGCCGCCTTTCTTCTTAAGGATCAAAACCAGTTTGGGAATCTTCCCCTTTCCAAATGCAATGAAGATGCAGTACTTACTTTCCTCAATGTTTGTAGATATTGCCTTGTGTATTCCATTTAAAACCGTAATCTAGTTTGTAAAAGAGATGGTGACGCATGTAAATAAAGCATCAATGACACGCTTGTCTTACTCCAAGAAGTTTTTTTTGTCCCCTCCACCGCTTTCTTTAACCATAGGAGTGAAATAGCCAAGTTTATCTCAAGGGCTTTCTGTGGAGTTATTTCCCAGCCTGGGAGAAGCATAGAGCTGAGAGACTATCATGAGATCTCTAAATGAAATGAACCTACTGAACTTTTTTTTTCTGGCCCACTTTTGACCTCCACAGACAAGCAGATAATTTAATAAAAGCAGATTTATGGAGTTGTTCATGTTGGCTGGTAGCCACTTGTGTGTACTGAGTCATGTGGTCCCCGAGGAGCTTTGAAGTACAGGGTTCAGGCCTCAGACTCTGCTGTCACTGAGTGCCGTGGGTTTTAACCTGCGACTGGTTTGACCAGAGTTAGGTCCTGCTCATGTGACCACAGCAGATGAACATCAGTGGTCAGCAGAGCCATCCTGCACGTCGAAAGTCAAACGTTTCAGGCTTCTGGCAGCAACCACATAAATATTTCCCCTGGGTGTACATTTAGGACCTCCTCAGTTATAGTGGTATGAACTCCACCCTGTTGTAAAACTATTCTTAGTAGCCTAGATTGTGTTTCTTTCTTTAACAGATACATTATAAAAGTTACTGAGCTTACAGAATCCCCAGCCCCAATCTGGTTTAAAGGCCCCAAGCAACATGATGGCCTCTTTCTATAGACCAAGGAGGTGAGAAAGTTATTAAAGTTGGCCCTTTGGGGTAAGGTCCATATTGACAGTCTTGCTTTCATCGTTTTTTTATTTCCATTGTTTTAATTATTGTAAAGGTAAAACCTCACCATCTTCAAATACCAGTATCATCTGGATATTTCACTTGCAGTTCCATTTCAGAGAATAATCTCTCAAAAAGCAGTAATCCCAAAAGATTAAAGGCAGAAGGCTTATTCCAGTTGTCACAAGATTCTCAGTAGAGAACTGCGGCCCCTAGCCAGGTAAAATGTAAGCAAAAACTAGTTAATGATGAACAATTACTAGGTCAACCACAAGTGTGGCATTGTCCAGACCCTGTCCCAGCACCAAGAGGACCATGACCAGGAGCCTGCCCTCCGTGAGGTAGCGTACTTGCTCCACCTCAACAAGTGACCTTCTTGCTGACTGTTCCAGCTTCTGCATCAACTCAGAAGAGGAAAATTTGAACTAATCTCCAAAATACTCAAGTTTAATTTTGCAGATGGTCTAATAGAGTAAAATGTTCTCTGACAAATCAGCCGAGTCGCCCCTAGCAGGGGTTTAGTGTAAGAGCCACAGTTAGAGGAAGGCAGGGGTCTCCCAGATACGCATAGCTGTTCCGATGAGACAGAAAAGGAGGGAGATGGCTATGGTGGGGCAGGGAGCACTCTGGTGACTTGGCTCAGCCTGGTGGCAGGAACGGGCAGGGAGGGTACTGGAGGTGTGAGTGGAGAGAGGGGCACTCAGGCCATCTCCACCAGACAGCGGGGAACTGCCCGGCTCGCAGGACCACGTCAGTGAAGCTGGAGGAAGGTCCCCCCCACCCACCCATTTCCCTTGTTCAAAAGTTGAAAGAGACAAGAAGCAATTGTTAAAGGCTGAAGGGAATTAGATTGTGTGCATGGGGTTCTGCCTAATGATAATGGCTCAGAATGGTTAGATTTTGCCTCCCTTCTCTGAGAATTTGGTAGAAACACACCACAAAAATCCCCACTTCTGCTTGTAAAGAGAAGTCACAATGCCTGTCTAGGGCTGGCACCAGGTTTCCTCTGTGAGTCTCCCTTTCACCCACAGCACCGCCTGTGTGCCAGGCTGCTTGTCATGGCGAGATAACCAAAGGAACCAAGCTGAGGTGTTTGGGCGCACTGGTGGCTCCTAGACAAACACGACCCACGTGTGCTGCTGAGGGTAGATTGCAGGGGCAGAGATGCAGAGCTGGGACAGCAGAGAAAGCTGTTTCAGCTGAAAGGCCAAAATGGGTCAGGCTTTCTAGCTGAAGGGATAACTCAAGATAAAAGAAAGGAGACGGGGAAAATTAGGACAGCCTCAGGAAACAATGAGTAGGGGAACTGTTTGGGGCTTAAAGACCTCCAAGAAGATAGGTGAGAATCAGGCAAGAAAAGCAGGCTGCCAGAAAATTCCAGACCAAGGAGCTTGAACTGTGTGATACAGTGTGGGAAACCAGCCAGGCCGTGACCTGATTAGAGCTGAGTTGGCCTTTAGAAGAAAGAGGCCTGTGGAAGGCTGAGAGTTGGGTTCCCGGAAAGATGGAGAGGAAGTGAGAAGCCATGGTAAGTCTAGAACGCTGCACATCAGGGCACCTGGAAAATAATGTTTTTATGGCCCACTGGACAGGCCGAAAAAGCTGCTCCAGGTCTCGAGTGACCTACTCTGGGCAGCCCCAGCCACAAGTCCTCTGGGCAGCCCCCAGGGCTGAGCAATCAGCAGCTCCGTCCGTGACTCCAACCAAGGTGAGATGCTATGAGCCAGAAGTCAGGCAAAGCTTGGTAATGCGTTAGTCTGGGGCAGGGAGGCAAGAGTTTGGCTCTCAAGTCTTCACCTTGTGCACCATTTTAACTGAGCAAAGTGGGAGTGTCTTACAATGATAAATACAGCTTTGAAACAGTGGAGGTGGACTGGCTCGGACTCCTCCTCTTCTGAGACTGCAGGGAATAAGGAACAAGCTGGCAGAAGGATATTGGGGAACAGACGTGGAGATGGTAAGGTAACCATGCTGTTTAAAAGGAATCCGACTGAGAAATGAATAATATCCTCGCAACCCTGTGTCTTCTCAACCTTAGGTGTCCTTAACCGGTCCCTGGGAACATCTTGAGTATCACAGCACAGTATAAGGAGGAGCTAATCCGAACAAAGGAGTATTATGCATCCACTAACATAATAATTATGAAGACTCTTCTTGTACATAGGAAATGCTTACATCAGATACTATGAAATGTAATTATTCATGGTTCCTATGATCTTATACATTGATACAAGAAAAATAAAATGCAGAGTACAAATAATATTGTGTGAGTGTAAAACTATGGCTGGGAAGAAGTATTAAAAATAAAATGTGAAAAGGGAAATCTTATGTTTTGTGTACTGTGAGCCTTAACACAGAACTTAGGCCCTTGCTGTTGCCACTGAAGTCAGGGAATGTCTGAGCCATCTGCCAACCGAGTCCCCCTGGCAGGAGCAGGGACTAGAACTGTGACCTCCAGCAGGGAGGGGGACCGCCTGCTCCACCGAGATGCACCTAAAGAGCCCTCTCCCCAAGAAAAAAGGCAGGGTTCATGCTAGAATATGGCCCAAAAGACAAATGTCCTTTGTATGAGGGTATTTGGGGTATGGACTTTTTTGTCCAAATTATTTTCATTCTGTTGTACTGTAAATTAATATTTGCAAAATAATGCATCTGCATGATCTACAAGCCAGAAAATAAAAAGATATAAAAGTCTTCCTCCTATCCCTGAACCCTATTACCTAGTTACTCCCACCCCAAAGGATATTGTAACACACTATTGGCCATCTTGTGCTTTTTTTTTTTTTCCCTTTTTGTGTGTATGTGCTGCTGAGGATTGAACCCAGGGCCTTGTGCATGCAAGGCAAGAACTCTACATTCCCAGCCCTTATTTGTCTTTTTGAGACAGGGTCCCACTATGCAGTTCAGGCTGGCCTTGAACTCACTCATTTTGTAGCCCAGGCTGGCCTCGAACACACAGCAATCCTCCTGCCTCAGCCTCTTGAGTACTGGGATTAACAGGCATGCGTCACCACGCCCAACCCTCATATTGCTTTTTGAATGAATTTCTCATACATGGGGGATTTACGGTAGTACACAAAAAGCTGCCTCACTCTTTTATATGGTTAGATAGAATTCCATTATATGAATGCATCTTGATGATTAAACCAGGAGTCCCGGGGCTGGGGATTTAGCTCAGTGGCAAAAGTGCCTGCCTGGCAAGCGCAAGGTCGTGAGTTCAGTTCCCGGTACCGGAGAAAAACCAAAAAAAAAATAAATAAATAAACCAGGAGTCCCTTACCGATAACACTGGACATCAAATTGTTTCCAAGAATTTGTTGTTACCACAGCACTGCAACAAATAAACTTATGCATTATTTTATCCATGTGCAAGGGTTAATGCCCAAACATGGATTGCTGGGGTGAAGGATATAGATATTCATAATTTTGGCAGAGGTTAACCAAACTGCCCTCCAGTGTTACCAGCAATATAACTAATGTATGAAAATCCTGTTTCCTGACAGCCTGTTTTTAATTTTTTTTAATATATTTTTTAAGTGAGTTGCAAATCTGTGTCTCCTTCTCCCCTTCCAAAGTGTAAGTTCATACCCAAGGCAAGGGGAGGGGCTGGACCAGGAGGTAGGGGTGACGGTGGAGTGGGAGGAGCCTTAGGAGGTGGAGTCTGGGTGACGCACCATGGCCAGGAAGAGGGAGTAGATCTGAGCACTCGAGTGATTTCCGCACTCTGAAGAATTACTCTACCAACCTGTCCGACCAGTCTGGGCCACAGGCTCCTCCCTTCACACCGCCAGCTTGGACCACCCTGCCTTGGGGTCAGCAGCCTGACCCAACAGCTGGGCTCCCTCACCTCCCAGAATTCCAGCGGGAGCTGTCACCCCCAAAGGAAACAAGTCTGGGCTCTTTGGTCCCAAACCACGCACCAAGACTTACTCATATTGGGATTGCACAACCAGCTGGAGGACAGCCTGCTGGGGCATGGGAAAGCACGTGCTCCAGGCCAGGCCTGGGGCCACTGGTCTCTAAGCAAGCCTGCCCGCCTTTTGAGCAGGGCTGTCCCTGGCTTTTGGGCCTTTCCAGTCCCTGGCTCTTCCCCTTTTGGGGAGACTTGCTTCTCCAGGAGAAGCTCTAAACCCTCCCACCACTCACCGGGCAGGTTGGCGAAGGGGAGGGGTTTGGGTCCTGCATAGACAAGCTAGTAGGTAGTTTACTACAGAGGGAGCTGGATTGGGAATAAGTCCTTTGTACCTCTGTGGGGAGTCAGTGGGTGGGAGGGCAG